CGCACGCGGGGTGGCTCCTCCGCAGCCCCGGGAAACTTCGCCCTCCGCCCGCAGGGGCGGGAGGACCTCCTTCTCCGAGCCCTTTTCTGATTTCTGTTCTAGGCGTGCTGGGTGGAAGGCCGCCTGGAGCGATCCGATCGCGGTGGGTGGGAACGCTGGAAAGAATGGATCCCCCCCCTTTTTTTTTTTAAAGAAAAAGGGGAGGGGGCTGCAGTTTGTTCCTCCTGGCTGGCTAAGGAGAAATGACTATTGTTTCCAGCTCTCGTTGCCTCTGGGGCCACCGGTGTTCATTCTTATTTGTAGCCCTTAACCGGGGTCTGGTGGCTGCTCCTAAGATGATTCATTTAGTTGATCCAGTGGGGCAAATGTGGGGTCTAAATGTTATGTTAGATCCTACCCGGAAGTTTATGTTCCACACACGTGGTCCTTTCTAGGAAGATTTGTAAGGTTTATTTTATTTTTTGCTATATTCTGTTGGGCATCACCAGAGTCTTCAGGTGTCTGTGAAATTGTTTGGGATTATTGTTGATTAGATTTTTTGTCCTGGCAACCGCCAAAGACCTCAGTTGACAAGACCTCAGATAGGCAAACTTGCATGTCTATCTAGTTGACTCTAGACTCGCTAAGCTCTTTCTCCAGGCAGAGGTTTTGTTGGTGTATTGGTTGCTGCATAATTTTCCATCAGTCTCTTTTGGAAACTGATACTTATGTCTCATAAAGTAAACAGATTCTGTTTGAAATGTTAATTGTTTGGAAACTGAATTCAGTTTGAAACCTTGATCAAGAATGCCAGTGCAATCTTCAATAAAATGCCACAACTTTTTGTTTTAATAACGTGCATGTTTAATGAGTGCTCATTCATAACTCTTGAAGGTGTTGAATTTTCTTGATACCTCTGAGGAAATTTACCCAAGCCTCTAGGTTAGCAAGATAGAGCAGTTTGAACTTTGAGTTGCTACGTGTCTTTATGTTTGGTTTTTGTTTTATACAATCCATTGAAAGAGAATGTAGAAATCTATTCCCATATATTTCAAGCTTGAAAACGAAGCCTCAGCAAGTTGGCAGAACCCTGAGGTTGTCATCCTAGGGTAGGTGCACCCCAGGGAGACAATCAAGGGAGCTTAACTGTAAATTGGAATGTGTATTGCTTTTAGGAGTGCATATTATGATCCTGTTTTTTAAATTACTGTACTGGAAGCTAATGGGCCAAAGAGAGAAGCTTCCTGTCTTCTTGGGTGACTGTAGAGAAGGGGCTAAATCTAATGCGAACAGTTACAATAAAGAAAAAAGAAATTGTATCCCCAGCAGAGCATTATTTAGCTATAATGTTATGTGGTCAGCCTTATAGGAATCACATGGTCTTGGTACGATGAACTCTTGAATGGGGGTCGTAGGGAAAATGTGCCTAGAAAAGAGCTAAAGCAGAAGTGAAATGTTTTTGGTGGGGTGGCCAGTGAAACAATGATGCATGAGTGTTAAAAGTCTGTGGTATTCTTAGGTTAATGGGTTACCTGTTACCTGTCTCTGGCACTGTCAGGCTCCACTCCTGCCTGTTGTTCTGCTTGGAAGATTAATGGGATATTTGAGGGGTGCCCTTTTCTAGTATTTTGAATTCATAGTTTATTTACAAAGAAGTTTGCTCTTCATTGGGCTGGGAAAACTGGAAGTCTAGCGTCATAACTGTAAATGTGCCTACACATAAGTAGGTTCCACCATGCTAACTGGAGTTTCCAACAGTCCAATCTTCCATGTATTTCCTTGAAGTATCTCCAAGTAAACTAACAGGAGTTCTTAAAAGGAGGCATTACAGCAGGAGGGCAACTCAATTTGATATTATTTAATTTAGAGGAACTATAACTCTTTACAGAATGACTTGGAGAAGTGATTTTCATTCAGCCTTCTGAATACAACAATAACTTTCTGTCAAATGTTCCAGATGTTTCTGAACTTGGTTGCGGGAGCTTTTAAGGGATCTTGTGTCAGCTGAGAGGCAATATAGGGGTGCCATTTTTAGAGGTGAAGAGGTAGAAGAAACATGGCGTTTAGTAGAAGCAGCTGTTCCATTGTAAAAGGCTTATCTATAATTTGCTTTGTTTCAGAGATGGTGGAACCAGGACAAGATCTTTTGCTTACAGCTTTAAGTGAAAGTGGAATTAGCCCAAATGACTTGTTTGATATCGATTCTCCAGATATGGGTCTCGCAACTGCACCTCCAGCTATTCAGCAGGTTGGAAAGCCATACAATTTTGCATTTGTCATGGTCTCGTAGCATTTGAGTTACTTTTATTTCTCTAAAAAATACATTGCTGATACAGTTACATTATTAGACAAAGAGAAGCTGGATATTGTTTATTTTATCAACATTAACATAATAAAATAGCATCATTATAAACATTGTTACTTTATATACATTACTTGTGAACAGAAAAGCTTCACTCTCAGATCTCATTGGGGCCTGTAAAATTGGTACTGACCTGCCCTGTGTCTGCCATACATCAAACCTGCCTTACTTCTGTGGGAATAAGGAACAAAGGATTAAGGCTAGATTTGTGACGTTCAGCTCAGGGAAATAACTTTTTCAGATTATATGCTGCTGCCAAATTTGAAACGTTGCATTTATTTTATATCACGTTAATCTTCTTGCCAGCTTTCTCTAAGGATGTAACGTGTTGCATTGCTGTTCCTTTTGTGAGTTGCAAAATAGAAGCCTTGGACACACTCTCTGATGCATGCTTTTCTCTGAGAAGGTTTTCATTGACTTTGAGTAAGGAATACCAGAACCACGACTGAGTCCAGACAGTGCCAGAACCTGCACCAGGCATGCTGGCCAGCCCCTCCTTTGAGCTGTGAACTAAGGAATTATGGCCTCAGAGCACTTACTTACTGTGTTTATAGAACTCGCTTCACTGGAGACAAAGGTCTAGCAGCTGTATTCACACAGGGCTTGCTTCATGTCCATCTTGGTTGTGTTTTTGTTGCTCAGAGGGTTATGCAAAACATTCAGTTTGTTTGTTTATTTTATGTGATAGTTTGTTGTTTGAATACAAAAACTGGTTTAACTCATTAGCCAGGTGAAGGATGGTGTGGGAATGCAGCTCATGCCTGTAGTCAAGACATGACTGTATCCCCTGTTTGTTATGGGGAGACAGAGTTAAAAGTGCTTTTAGAAGCCCCCTGCAGAAGATAACTGGTGGGATCCTTTCTTAGTTGTGTTTCGAAGAGAAGGGCCAATGGTCATATCCAGCAACAAGACATTTTAATGGCTTCCATGCCTGAATATATCTACCATTTGATCTCTTTAGCAGGGTATTTAACAGTGGCAGCCTGCAACCCAGTGATCTGCACAGTTTGATTACATTGGTGTTATTCAGATTTTGCATATAGTTTGCTATCAGTGTAAGATTTAAAATATAAGTGTATAATTATTTTGTGTATAAGCTACAGTATACACATACAGTATTTTCTGTTAAATACATCTGAGGTAAAGAAAGAAAATTAGTATGTTGCATTAATTAAATGCTGATAACATCAATCTAACATTACTGTTATTTCTTCTTTAGTCAGTATCTCTTAATGCATTAGAGCTGGGTTTGGAGTCAGAAGCATCAGTAGCTGTTAAAGCAGAGCCCCAGGCTGCATCGTCTCCTACAGTACTGAACATCAGAGTAAGGAAAATACTTTTTTAATATTTAGTTACATTTAATATTACAATTCATATCTCTTGAATTATATAAATAAAAGTAGGGTCAGTGGTCAACATTTTGTTCCTTGAATAAATGAAAAGGTTTGTGTTCACAGAAGACTTACGGTCATAAAATAATCCCTCCTGTTAAACATTTTTTTAAAAAACATTAAAATTTTGAGTAAGGTGATTCTTAGAGAAGGTTTCGAAACCATTGTACTCAATCTGTAGAATGAGACCTTCCTGGTTCAGCTGGATCTCCTAGCTGCCTTTGATACCATCAGTCATGGTATCCTTCTGTGTCTCTGGAGGTTGGGGACCTTATCTTGCAATGATTCTTCTCTTCCAGAGAAGGTTTCAGTCAGTGATAATGAGGGGAGAGTGAGCCCTCCATTTCCATTTCGATTCTGGAAACAGTCATGGTCCCCCAGACTGAACTGGTTCATAACTTGGGCCTCTCCTGGTTCTCAGCTCAGCTGTGACAACTCCATCTGAGTCCATTTCTGGATTAGGAGGCCCTGTTCACAGTCCTCCGTGCCTTGATCACTTCTCTGCTCGACTGTTGCTCTATATGGGGCTGTCCACGATGACCACCTAGAATCTACAGCTGGTCCACAATGCAGCAGTTCAAGTAGTTGAGGCACCTCTTGGTTTACCCAGATAACACCAGTACTGTGAGAGCTGCACTGGTCACCATTTGGCTTTCAGGTGCAATTCAAAGTGCTGGTTGTCACCTTTAAAACCTGCATAACTCAGGCCAGTCTTCACCCAATGGTGTCTGCTTGTCCAATAGCATCTAGTGAGCAAGACACCCTTCAAGTTCTGTCTTGAAAGCAGGTGATCAGAGAACACAAGGGCAGGCATTTTCCATTGCTGTTTCTCTCCTGTGGAACATCATTCCACCTGAAGTCAGGTTAGCTTCACCCTATTTGCATTTAGAATACCTGCCCAGACTTGTCTGTTTTAGAAAGCCTTCATTAGGTGATTGTTTTTATCAGAAGGATATTCCTCAGCATGATTGATGTGGCACTGAGGTTGCTACTAGTTTGTATCATGCTATTATCATTTATTGTTTTAGTCTTGTTTACTGTATTGGACTGTATGCCATTTAGAATCATGTACAATTGAAGCAACCTATATGCCTCAGTTAAAAGGAAGAGTGCTGGGCAGTTGTTTGTAGTTATCCTAAAACTACAAGAATGAGTCTCTCTGTTTCTTTAGCAACCGCCGTCCACCACAACCTTTGTCTTGAATCAAATAAACCAGCTCCCTACCCTGGGGACTACCATTGTAATGACAAAAACAACACCCGTGACCAGTACCAGGCAGACCATTACCGTAGCAAAAATCATACAAACCAGCACCACCACACGGCCGTCGGTGACAGTGCCAGTGGCGCGGAACACCCTGACGACCCCAGTGCCCAAGGACCAGATCCAGCTGAAAGATCTCCTTAAAAACAATAGTCTTAATGAACTCATGAAATTAAAGCCTCCTCCCAACATTGCTCCGCCTGTTGCGACTGCGGCAAGTAAGTAGCAGAGTCATCTGAATGGGTGTTGGGGCGAGGGTGTTATTTAAGCTTATGTAGTAGGTAAGGTAGTCCTTGCTTAATGACCGTTCGTTTAGCGACTGTCCGAAGTTACAGCACTGAAAAAAGTTAATTATGACCGATCCTCACAGCATCACAGTGCCCCAGCAGTGTCCCAGGGTCACATGATCGCCATTTGCGACCTTCCCAGCCAACCTCCGGCAAGCAAAATTAGTGGGGAGCCAGGTGATTCACTTAACAATCACCACAAAAAGGTAAAATCGGGTGCGGTCACATGATGCTTTGCTTAATAACCGCCCCGCTTAATGATTAATTTTCCAGTCCCTATTTTGGTTGTTAAGCGAGGACTACCTACAATCTACTGCAGTGTTTCTCCACCTTGGCATCTTCCAAGTTGCCACATCTGGGAAATGTTGAACTAGCAGATGCTGAGCTGCCTAGCCATGTCCATCGATACTTGAAATCCTTTAGCCACTCAAAGGGTCTGGGCCCCATTCTCTCTGATACAGATTTTCAAGCCTGAAACAATAAAGCAAATGTGACAGCCCTGCTTCCTTATTGCAGCCGTTCTCTGAGCCATGTAAAATCAACCCGTGCTGTTGTTGGATGTAGCATTATGGTTAAGAGCCAGTCGCTGTTGTGAAACACATTTAAGCATCTTTCTCAGTTGATTCTTCATTTCCCATAACTGAAAATGGGCATGGAAAGAAACAGTTCATTTGGAGAAAGATAGAGCACTTGTGGTATTTTTGTGAACGGCCGGGTTTTCCTCCTGTGTGAATATTTGCTAGGTTAAAAGCTCCGTCTGTCTGCAGTTATTTCAGTGAAATTCATGTAGCATTTTCTCTGCATGAATTTGTACTTGACCCATCAAAAGTTGGTTAAAATATCATGGGAGGCCCAGCATGTTAATTTAAGATATGTCTTAAATAATTTCGCTGGTGGTTTAAACATAGCACACCCATCCCAATCTATCATAAGTGCTGCCACCAAGTTATCATTTAGGCCGAGAAAAAGAATGTTATAAAGGCTAAATCTTAAAAATGTATTGAGGCCCCAAATGTTGACTTTCTTACAGAAATAATTGTTGTGTCCCCAAAGGTGGTAAACACCACCAAGCCAGGTAAGATAATTTCCGTTGTTAAAACTGGGTGTAGAGTTTCCTTTCTTTAATCCCCATGTGGGAAATTCAGTGTAATCTTCATCTAACTTGAGTGCTTTTACACATTACATCCACCCGATAGCCTTGAATTTATGATTGGTTTGAAGCTCATGTGCACTGTGGTGTATTGGTGAATAAGAAGTTTGCCTTTCGTTTAGGCCGGCTTGAGGAATAATTTATTTATATCATAGGCATTTTTGTTTGTTAGTATTTAGTCATTTGGAACATTTTCCTTTCAGCTGATCTGAGTAATGGTGCTGTTAAAAAGGAGGCTTCAACTAAAGAAGTTACAAGGATATGGGTAAATGATCTAAAAATGAGAAGCTTCTCTCCTACCATGGTAAGCACAGCCCTTCATTTAAATTTATATTGCTCTTTTTATGTTTATTTATAGAACTTATATGGCTGCTTATCTCATATTCTGTTATAACTGAACTCTGTTCCTTAAAATCTGAAATTCTAGATTTTGATCAGTTTTACTGTTGCATAGACTTACTGATTTGTTTTTAATACTTGTTTTTTATGTATTTGATCATTGATATTGCAAGCTGTTTTGGAGAGAAGTTGCAGCTGTAGATGTTGCGTGTAGACATGCTGTTTCCCAACCAGCTTCCTGTCCAGCCTTCCTTAAATATAATACAATATACAAACAAAATATAATTCAATATACAAACACATTTCAGATGAAGCAATACTTTGCTTCAAAGCAAAGTAGTTTAGGTTTACACTCAAGTGACTCGATCATACAAGATCCTTTGTGGGTATTTCAAAATATCTTCTGGAGGCAAATAAGTCCCATCAGAAGGAGCGCCTTAAAGGTAACATCCTCAGACACAGCAGGAAGAATGCCGTGAGATTCCACGTTCCACATTTGTGTGTGTCTGCTCAGTCTTGAACGTTACTGCTTATGTGCGACCTAGTGCAACACTTGCTGATCTTTCCTGCAGAAAGTGCCCGTCACAAAAGAGGAGGAAGAACCTGAGGAGGAGGATGAAGAAGAAATGGGTCATGCAGAGACATATGCCGAATACATGCCCATAAAACGTACGTCTGGTCCTTGTTTATCAAAATTAGATAACTGAATGTACCACACTGAATTTTAGAATCTGTAAATTAGGAATTCTTTGCATATGCTCCTTTGAAATAGGTGTTGGCTGTGGGATCTGTGTTAGCGTTTATGCCTACCTCTTTCCTTTTTCTTACTTGAAGTGATCAGCCTTCCTAACCTAGAGTACTTCAGATGTTTTGGAGCACAGTCTGGGAAATTTCCATCTGTTGTTTAGGTAGGATAAGAGAATTGTAGACCCAAATTGCTGAAGGCATCAGGCTTAGTTCTGGCTGTAGCCCATGCTGGGAATTGTCTACCCCCTTTGAAGAGACAAGGTCAGAAAGCTTCTCTAGATGTTTATAAGCCTTGTTCTGGAAGAGGCCAGAACTATGTGATTTTAAAAAATGCTGAGCCACAGAACGGAGTAAGAATATTTCCAGGCCTTACCTGCTGACTTTTCTCCAACAGTAAAAATTGGCTTGCGCCATCCAGACCCGGTAGTAGAAACCAGTTCTCTCTCCAGTGTTACCCCTCCTGAGGTGTGGTATAAGTCTTCAATTCCCGAAGAAAGTATTGACAGCGGTTGGCTGTCAGCCTTGCAGCTTGAAGCTATTACTTATGCAGCACAGGTATGTTTTTGTTGAAGGTTTGCTACAAATCTCTGCTGGTCCAGACACCAAGCAAATTTGAGCTAGGATACCAAAAAAAGGTGGTTCGTGCCACAGTCCAAATATTGCAATGAGTTTTCCATAACTCCCTACAGCAACACGAGACATTCCTACCTAATGGAGACCGAGCCGGCTTTTTAATAGGCGATGGCGCAGGTGTGGGGAAAGGAAGAACCATAGCTGGAATCATCTATGAAAACTACCTCTTGGGTAGAAAAAGGGCAGTGTGGTGAGTATAGAAGTGTCAGTACAGTATGACATCATTTTTCTTGTCATCTGCTTTGTCTTCATGGGTCTATTGCACTTCCTCTCTTCTAGGTTTAGTGTTTCAAATGATCTGAAATACGATGCAGAAAGGGATTTGAGAGATATTGGAGCAAAAAACATTTTGGTCCATTCATTAAACAAGGTGTGGAAATATTTTACTATGTACAGTTGAAGCAAAAACATTAGGTACGCTTGTGTGAGATGCATGCTAAATGAATGCTTTTGTTTTAGAATTTACATTGAAACCCGCAGTTGATAGTTTTGTTACTTCCTGTGTAGCTTACACTATGTTAGAAAGTAGCGTAACGATTGCTCAGTCTCAAATTATTTTTAAGATTAATCATTACAATAGGCATGTTGCATGTTTTCAAGGTTACAGTTGGGAGAGGGGAAGGTTCGTATCCTCAGGGCAGAATTAAATTATGTGGGATAGTGATATATTTCTGAATTCTCCCATAAAAATGTGAAAACTTTAATAAATTAAGATTGTCTTTATTGGGAAGTTCTACAAGAGAAAACATCTTGCTAGAATTTGTCTTTATTGAATGTGCATTTATTGCACCCTTATTGAATAAATCTGCTACCGTAATGAATTGTTCCTGGAAAACATGACACTCAATATGTGATTCGTAAGGCAGTCTTCCTCAGTTTGATGAAACTTGTATACAGTGACAGAGTAAAGGGGGTGGTAAACGAAAATATCAAAGCAGAAACTTCTGTTGGGAGTCCATCAGCTTTCACATTGTTTGAGTTCCAAGTGCAAAATGATTAGAAACATTTTTCTTTTAAGATACAGCTTTAAAGCTATTTGCAGTTTACTTAGGGAAGATAATGCATGCAGGTTTGTAATGGAATAGAACGTCTTTCATGCTTTTAATCTTATTTCTGTTTTAGTTCAAATATGGAAAAATTTCTTCCAAGCATAACGGAAGTGTGAAGAAAGGTGTCATCTTTGCCACCTATTCTTCACTTATTGGGGAAAGTCAGTCTGGAGGGAAATATAAAACCAGACTCAAGCAGCTGCTTCACTGGTGTGGAGATGACTTTGACGGAGTGGTATCCTTTCTGTGTTCTAGCCTGGGGCAGTAGCCTTACCTGTTAAATTAGCATCCTTTGAAAAGTATCAGTTGTTCTTTTTAAATTCCAAGACCATCAAATGTTTGGAAGCAGATATTGCTTCCAGATAAAGTAGTGATGCTCTAAAACAGTGTTTCCCAACCATAACAACTTGCAGATGTATGGACTTCCAACTCCCAGAATTCTCAACAATGCCCGTGCTGGCTGGGGGATTCTGGGTACTGAAGGTCACATATCAGAAAGTTGCCACAGTTGGGAAACATTGCTAAGTTCTGTATCTAGCCTAGTTAATTTTTGGAAGGTTGTGCTGATCTTTAAGTTGCCATGTTGGGCCAGATTAGTTTGTTGAAAGTTTTAATTGTTACCATTCCTTATTTACAGCTAAAAGATTTATTGTTCAGCATTGGAAAGATAAACATATGACTCCAACTATTCAGTGCTCTGCAGAATTGATCAAAATACATTAGCTATGGATGACAGTAACGATTTATGGCTTCCGTTCACTGAAATGTTTACCATACAACTTTATGTATGTCTGTACATGAAATGTCTGTTTCTTAACCGTGTCCTCAGATAGTGTTTGACGAATGCCACAAGGCTAAAAACCTTTGTCCGGTTGGCTCTTCAAAACCAACTAAGACAGGATTAGCTGTTCTGGAACTGCAGAACAAGCTTCCAAAGGCCCGGGTTGTCTATGCTAGCGCCACAGGTAAAGACCATTTTCATCATTTGAGTATTGAATGGATTTCAGTGCAGTTTTCAAATGGAAAAAGCACAGATAATTTTTTTAAAATGTTTGTTTTCAGGTGCGTCAGAACCCCGGAACATGGCATACATGAACCGCCTTGGGATCTGGGGTGAAGGGACGCCATTTAGGGAGTTCAGTGATTTTATTCAAGCAGTTGAAAGAAGGTAGGTGTCTGAATGTTGATCTTGGCTGGTGATGGCTAAGATGGGAGAAGCAATCATCAAGCTTGCCCGCAGCTTTTCTCGAAGTTCCAGTAGGTGAAAATAATTTCCATTTAAAAATTATCTTTTTCTTTTAATCTTCAGAGGTGTGGGTGCCATGGAAATAGTTGCTATGGATATGAAGCTAAGAGGAATGTACATAGCAAGGCAACTGAGCTTCTCAGGGGTCACCTTCAAAATAGATGAAGTTCAGCTTTCTCAGCACTACGTTAAAATGTATAATAAGTCTGTGAAAATGGTAAGCGTTTAAAATTGAGAAGTTTGCTGTTTGTGATGTTTTGAGAAGGATAATTATATTAACTCATTGCAATAGGAACACCAATGAATCTTTGGAACAGTATAAAGACTAGCAAGATTTATGACAGCACATAATCAATTCCTTTAGTCATACTTGATATTTGGGTTCCTCGGTCTCCAGGAGATCAAGCATTGATCAGATTTTCTGGAGATAATTTATCCCACGTCACAGAGAGGCTAAGAAGTTAAGGAGTGGGGGTTGTCTTGCAGAATTTGTAGAAGCCCAGAGAATCCAACTGCCAAGCATGTATAGCAAACCTCGGCTATCTCCATTCCAAGGAATTCATTCCATGAATCCTAAGCAATTTTATTGCAGCAAGAAGCGGATGTTTAAAACCACACTGATGTTAGTGGGATATAACCACATTTTCTGGGCTAAAACCTGAAGTTTCAATATATTGTTTATAAAAATGATTTCCCTATTACTGCAAAAGGAATGGATGCCTGAGCAGTAGGGCATTCAGCAAAGGTTCAGTATGTCAAAGATTCTCTAAAGTAAATTAGAAAACTACTACCCCAAATTCAAGAACCAACCTTTAAGAACTAGACTTTAAGAACCAGTGGTCTGTCTAGTGTAGCATCTTGTTCTCCTTCCATTTTATATTGCTGATTTTATATTGCCCAAGCTCCGGGCATGTAAATATGAAAACTCTGCTTTCCTTTTTTAGTGGGTAAGTGCCAGGGAGAAATTCCAACAGGCAGCTGACCTCATTGATGCTGAGCAGCGCATGAAAAAGTCAATGTGGGGCCAGTTCTGGTCTGCTCACCAGAGATTTTTTAAATACCTCTGCATTGCATCCAAAGTAAAAAGAGTGGTACAACTGGCCCGAGAAGAGATCAAGAATGGCAAGGTGTGTTGGGTCTTGACTTCAAACCAGAGTTGAAGTGCTAGAATGACTGGTTGTGGGAGAAGCACACTTCTTCCATGTTTAGAAGATCTTAAAACCTTACCTGTGTTTTCCTTCATCCAGTGTGTGGTCATTGGGCTACAGTCCACGGGAGAAGCAAGAACCTTAGAAGCTCTGGAGGAAGGTGGCGGAGAACTGAATGACTTTGTCTCCACAGCAAAGTAAGCCTCCTGTCAGCCCTGCGTGTTTGGGGAAAGTGGCTGCATCCAAAAGTCTTCCAAAATTCAGATAATAATAAATATTATAAATATTGGGCGAGGCACTGGAGAAGATGAAGAAGAGGGTTGGCTTATTAGTTGTACTATAGGACATAGCTAAGAGATTTGTCCAGGGCTACGGTTTCCATTCTAACCTCTAAACCAGTGTTTTTCAAAATATGCTGTCTGGGGAATTCTGGAAGTTGCAGTTGCCAGTAACATTGCCAAGTTTGAAAAACACTACTCTAAACAATCAGTTTATTCCATCTATTCACCAACTTTTTAAATTTATGAGCTGTTTAATGGTGAGTATGTCCTGTGTGTGTTGGCTGGCACTTGAAAAAACAGTTCATTCAAAGCCAATGCTTAATATCCCAGAAATTTGTAATATTACCCTGCATGAAATGTTAGCTTTCTCTTCAAGCGCAATGCGCATTAAGCCAAAGAATCAGGATGATTTAACTCAAAGAGTTAAACCCACAGAAAGTTTTCTTGACGTTCCCAGGGCTTTTCGTCCAGCGTCGCTATATAAGACTGCCTTTAGGGCTGGTTGGGAGAAGTGGAAGTCCTGGCACATCCAGAAAGTGTTAAGTTGGGGGAAACTGCTGGAATGCATCTCTTTAGGACAACATACAAAAACTCTGCTTCTTTATTATTATGGTACCATTGTGAAAGGGGATTTATGATCTCTGAAAAACCAGTAAAGCCCCTTTTGGCTTAGAATAGAAGGGAAGAATCTGCCAAGCCAACGAATTGTAGTTCTCCAGAAACATGGATATCCTATCACAGGGCTAGGGTGGACCAGCTAGTCCTTGTGGATATTTTGGACCACAGGCCCCTTGGTTCCACACTGGGTGATGCTCTTGGGATGGTGTCAAATACTGTTGTTGTTTTTCTCTCCTAACTTTACAGGGGGGTATTTCAGTCTCTCATCGAGAAACATTTCCCAGCTCCTGACCGGAAGAAGCTTTTCAGCTTGCTGGGAATCGATCTGTCTGTCCAGAGTAACAACAGCTCTCCTCGAGACAGTCCTTGCAAGGAGGATAAAGTAAAGAAGCGTAAAGGTAAGATTGGAGCAGCTGCTGCTGCTGCTGCTGCTGCTGCTGCTGCTGATTATTATTATTATTATTATTATTATTATTATTA